TCGACAACGGGAGTTTAGTCAATGTTTTAAAAGATACATGAATCTTTGATAAGAGTTTGATGTATTGGCCAACCTTTATCAATCCTATGTTAGAAGATGATCAATTAGTGGAAAGATTCATAAGCAATGGTGTATGGAATGTTCAAGAGCTACAAGAATTCTTTGGTGAAGATTTATTAAAGATTATAACTTCTATTTAGATTAATAGAAGGGAAGAAGACCGTTTGGAGCTCATTCACAAATTCTCTGGAGAGTCATTAACAGCCTTAGTAGCTGAAGCAATTGGACCCATCAAATCTGAAGGAAAAATTTGGAGGTGGTTTGAGAAATCCAAACTCATTCCTAGAGTTAAGATTTTAGTTAAGATTTTCTGATGGAGATTACTAAAAAAAGCTATTCCTACAAACAAATTTCTGTGTTATAGAAGGCTTCAAGGCTTTGAATTATGTCCTAGAGGATGTGTAAAAGTAGAAGACAATGAGCACATAGTTTCCGGATGTAATAAATTGCTAGAAGTTGTGGAAGTTTTAAACAAGTGGGGCTTTACTGCAATACCATTTATCATTTCTGGAAATCATAAACTTGTTTGTTCATGAGAAGAAGATTTTAAGTCCATTGCTTATAGCTTCCAATGCGGTCTGTTTTACTGCTAGGTACAGAAATTTCAAATGTACATTCTCAGGCAACGAGGGTACTAACCAACCATCCAGGTTGCTCAACAATTGGTATCCTCCTCCGTCTGATTGGATCAAAGTTAATATTGATGCTGCCGTTCATAACTCCTATAATGCCGGAGGAGTTTTTAGAGATCATCTTGGGAGGTTTTTGATGGCTTTTGGTAAAGAGTTTATGCACTGAGATTCAGGCGCTATGGAACTCCAATCTATTCTTTCGCTGAAGAATGTAATGTGCGATTGGATGAAGAACTATAGAGGATTGGTTATTGAAGGTGATAACAAGAATGTTATCAATTTCATCAAGAGAAGGGAGGAAAAAGGAGGTAATGGTCTCATAGATTTCTCTTTTATTAAAGATTTCAATTTTGTTATTTTTAATTCTATCTATAGAGGAAACAATAAGTTAGCTGATCTCTGTGCTAACTACGCTTGTTTTAGTTCTTTTATTTGGGATGATGTGGTGAACTATAATATCCCTCCAACCTTCATTAATTTGTTAATGAAGGAATCAGATGGGATTAGATTGTAATTTTCTTTTCAGTTTTTCCTTAATATAGCATTTTAAGTGCTTCCTTAAAAAAAAACAGCAACAACACCAAATACTCTTAAGAAAGAAACAGCGACCGATGCTGTCTTGAAGCAAAAAGAGAACGTCCTTTTCAGCAAAGGTCCAACCAGCCAAGATCAACTATTGAAGACATAAACCAAGCTATGAAAAAACACAAGCAACTACCATCTAGCAACCCACATAATCAACCAACAACTTGCAACCATCAGCAATATGAACCACAATCACCAACAGGCCTTCCACAGCATTCTGAACTCTCAAGATCTATGTGCCTGTCATAAAAAAACAAGCAGCAGCCAACAGAAAAGAAAAAATAGAGTAACAAAATAAAGCTATAGTTATCCATCCAGATTATGAATCGATTGATAATAATAGCCAAAAACAACAGCATACAAAAAGAAGAGAAAATAACAAAATAAAAGACATCCAACCAGCCGAAACAACAAAACAATAAAAGAAGAAAATAAAAATAAGCTAAGCTATTTAATGTCCATCCTGATTAAAAATCGGTTGACATTAATAGCAACAAAAAAAAGATCAAAAAGGCAATACAAATTAACAAATAGGACAAATAATAAGAAAGTTAAGTTAACCGAAAACAAACCAATAGACAAAAGAAAACAAACAAACAAATCAATTATAAAAAGAAATTTGAAATCTCAGCAAAAGATTTCCAAACCGAAGCCTTAGCAAAAATAACCTTTCTAAGAAGACTAGAAACAGAATCCAGATCTTTACAAATCCCAGAAAACCTCCTATGATTTTTTTCACGCCAAATAAAATAAAGACAACCACAAGTAGTTAAGAAGTAAAAATATTTAATATTACAAGAAATATTAAGATCATCAATAAAATAAAAAACTTGAATAAGATTAGGTTTAAGACTAGGAATTAAAGAAGAAATAATGAAAAAAGAGAAATTACAATAAAAAAATAAATGATTATGAGATTCTAACTCAGAATTACACAAAACACAAACCGGAGGAATATAAACAACATTTCTATTTGAAAGAATATCAACAGTTTTAAGTCTATTTAAAATAGACATCCAAGCATAATAAGAATACCTTAAGACATACGGTTTATGCCAAATATATTTATACCATGTAACTTTAACAAAGTCCTGAAAGTAAGCCATATAATAATTCTTAAATTTTGAATAGAGCTCACCCTCCCATTTTAGACAAGAGATAGAAGTGCTTTGAATACCAATAGAGACATTTAAAAACTGCAGCTCAGCCGGTAAAGACCAGCTGCCATTTAAAATAACTTCCTTCACAGCAATATTATGCCAATGAGAATTAAGATTCGGAACAAATTCTTGTATCGAAGAGCCTTCCAACCAAGGATCCCAATATAAGGATAAATTGCTATCAGCCGTAATAACAAAAGAGAGCTTATCTTTAATAGAAATAGCTAGCTTACACAGATCTTTTTAGAAGCTAGAAGCTTTATAAGTAGGCATCTTTCAAAAAGAAGTATAATAATCTTTAACCCAAAAAGACAAAAAACTTTTTGAATTTAAAATTCTCCAAATAAGAGAGTAGTTATAAGCATAATAAAGAGCATTAAGATCCAGGATACCTAACCCTCCATAGCATTTCAGCTTACACACATCTTTCCAAGCTATAAGATGCATATTCTTTGAGTGAATATTGCCATGAAAGAGAAACTTAGAACAACTTTTCCTAATAAACTTGAAACAATATTTAGGCAGAATCATACCTCTAATCCAGTAAGCAATATAATTAGTAATAGAAAAATTGAGAAATTGCAGTCTACCCGCAAATGAGAGCATTTTAGCCTTCAAACCAGAAAATAAATCAGTAACTTTATGAAAAAGAGGAGAAAAATCAGCAACACTTAGTCTCATAATAGAGATAGGAATACCCAAATAAGTGGTACAATCCTGAGAGTAAGGAAAATTCAGAACATTACAAATAACATCTCTTTCCCGTGTATCTTTAGAGAAGATAACCATACTTTTATGCTGATTGACATGAAGACTAGAGCAACTATAAAAATAATCCAGAATATTTTGAAGTATCTGAGCATTGCAAATTGTAGCTTTACCAAAAATAAGCACGTCATCCGCATATAATAAATGGGAAATATTAGAATTTCTCATTTTAAGATCCTCAAAGTTAAAATCAAATAAACAGCTATCAATTAAGTTAGAAAAAGCATCTATGATAATACAAAATAAATAAGGTGAAAGAGGCCACCCTTGCCGCAATCCTGAAGAAGAGCTAAATAATCCTTCTAAAGAACCATTAATAATAATAGAAAAATGAGTATCATCAATACAACCTTTAATCCATTTTATGAATTTGTCCGGGAATCCTTTTTGAGCCATTCTATGTAGAAGAAAATCCTTTGAAACTGTATTAAAAGCTTTTTGAAAGTCCAACTTAGCACAAAAATATTTTTCTTTGCAATAATTAAAACTTCTCAAAGTATCAGAAGCAAGCAAAATATTATCAGTGGAAATCCTTTTTTTAATAAATCCAAATTGACTAGGATTAATGATGATAGGCATCACATCTTTCATACGATTAGCCAAAATTTTTGCAACCATTTTATAAAAAACATTACATAAAAAAATAAGTCTAAAATCAGAAATATGAGAAGCATGAGAACATTTAGGAATAAGGCAATAGCCGTAGATTTAGTAGCTTTACTCATATAACCAGTAGAAAAATAGTGACAAATATCTTTACAAAAAGAAAGGCCAACAATATCCCAAGATTTTTTGAAAAACTCTAAAGTATAACCATCTGGCCTCGGAGCTAAAGAAGGAGCATAAAAAATAACATTTTTAATTTCCTCTAAAGATATAGGAGCAGTAAGATTATAAACAACAATTGAAGGAACTTTAATACCACTAGGAATAATAAAAGAATCAACAAAAGGAGGTTGAGGAGAATTAAAAAGACTCTTAAAACGTTGGATAAAAGCGCCAGCAATGTCCTTAGAATTAGTAATTAAACCATCAAAAGATGCAATAGAACGAATAAGATTATGATTATTTCTGCAATGAATTTTGGAGTAAAGAAACCCCAAATCATCCTCACCATTAGCCAGCCACCTTGCTTTAGAACGTTGAATAATTCAAGAATTCCATAAAGAGTTATAATGAGAAATAAGAGCATTAACCTCCTTTAAGTCTTCATTCAATTTAATATCCAAGGCATTAGCCTGAATATTTTGAAGTAGCTTATTCTGTAAAGAATGTAAATCTCCTAACTTAATTTTAATAAAGTTAGAAGTAACCCAAGAATGTCTCTTTATTAAACTTTTAAGCTTAACAATATGATGATAAAAATCATGAATAGGGCTACCCGTAATAGGAGAAGAGAAAGCATCAATAAGTAAATCCCAAAAACTTGGATTAGAGCACCAATAATTTTTAAATATAAAATGATGTCTTTTACCCATAGAATTGTTATTAGCTAGAATGATAGGATAATGATCAGAACACTTTGGTGCATCAACAAAATAATAAGAAGCTGGAAAAGAATCAAACCACTGACTATTCGCTAAAATTCTATCAAGCTTAATATGAATAGGATAATCACTTTTTTGATTAAACCATGTATAAAAATAACCAACCGAAGCAAGATCTTGAACCCCAAGATTAAATATGAGATTGTTAAAATCCCAAAGCTTACTATTAGTAAGAGCATTACCACCAGCTTTTTCATTAGAAAATCTACAACAGTTGAAATCCCTAAGCAAAATCTACAATAGTGATTTTCCTGTAGTGTCAAAATAAAAAACCTTATGTTTGGCACAGAACCAAGGATCCAATAAACAAGATTCATGAACTTTTGCTTCCAAGACGCAAATCAAATCAACATTAAATGCTTTAACTAGATCTTTACAAGCAATAACTTTATCAAGATTATTGAAACCTCTAATAATATTCCAAGAAACAATATTAGGAATTGAGATTATTGTTTAGAAGAAGAAGAGTTAGCCTTCCTGGCCATTTTATTCCGTGGCATCTTACCCATAGCAATGGATTGTTTAGAAGAATTATGATTATTCAAATCAGTACTAATCAAAACCTTGCTCATATTATCCAAAAAAGAAGCAGAAATTTGAGAAGTATCCTTATTATTAATAGAAACAACATTCTCATCCGTAACTTGCAATATACTAAATTTATTCTGATTGTTAAAAATAGTAGAATCAGAAATACTTTCAGAGGGAACTGAAAAAATGGACGTAACCAATTCAAAAGTAACCAAATCAGCTTCAATTGGCAAAGAATCAACAAGTGTAGTATCTGAAGATGAATTTAAATTAAGAATAATGTTATTAGAAACATTAATCCTGTCTTTAGAGGCAACTGGCACAACAAGATCTGTAATCTCATCCTGGTTTTTAGAAGAAAGAGGATTAACAACCATACTGCTATCCATAGAAATTAAACTGTCATTCTTGCCTTTATTATTAGAAGCAACTTTCCAAGAAACCCTGCTTCTACTTCTCCCTCTCGGTTTAACAAAATCGTTTCCCTTAGGGCATCTCCAACCGAACGGCAAAAACTTGTTTGCCGTTCTTGCTTTGCTCCAACCGATCGTCATTTTTGACGTCATTTGATCGCGGATGAACAGTGCGACGCCAATATTGACGTTGCACTGTTCATATGTGCCATTTTTTTTTCTTTCTACCGAACAAGTTGGGAAGAAAGGCGTGAAAGAAAACGAACGGTTTTAGCGGCAAAATGGCGTTGGATTGGAGATGAAACACGGCATTTTTTCATTTCCCTACATTTTGGAGTGAAAAATGAGATTTTCGGTTGGAGATGCCCTTATCTGATTTCTCAGAAATCTCAGAAGCCATAGAAGGATTAGTGGGACATAAAGAAGAAGGATGAACAATCGAACCACAACATGAACAAGAAGACGGTTTCCAATCATAAACCACTTCAAGACTAAAAAAAGAATCAACAATAGAAACATTCACCTCATCAGGCATCGGTGAATCCTTATTAACCAAAACAAAAATACGTGCAAACGTTAACCGCAATTGTTCTGCAGTAAGTTTATCAATCGCAATAGGAATTCCTACTAAACTAGCAATTTTAGATATTCCTTCTTCAGTCCAACAAACCAGCGGAAGATCAATAATTTTTATCCACAGAGGAATCGAAAAAAATTTTTCATGTTTAGGACGAAATAGAGGCGACCATTTTTGAACTATAAACGGCCAACCAAAAAAGAACCAGGGACCACCCATCCAAACAAGATCATAATCTTCTTGACATGTAAATTTCATTAAAAAGAAACCATCATTTAAAGATAAAAGAGTTAAAGAACCCTTTAATTTCTAGGCCTTATTCATAACATTTCATAAAGCTTCAAACAAAGGTCTCTTGCCTAAAGAATAGCCAACTAGGGTTAAGCCCCATTTATGAGAAACTTTAAGAACATCTTCATCAGAGAATGAAGCTATATTATCCTTTTGGGGTAAGAAAGAAACCGAGTATTCTTTAGCCGAAGATTGACTTGAAAAATTATTCCCAATCCAGCAATTAGGAACATCCAAAACTTTGCCGGATGAGATATCCAAGAGAGTCGAGGATTTCAACGGAGGAAAAGGATCCATCAAAGCAGACGAAAAAGTAAAAGAAAAACAAAACGAAATAAAAATCAAGCCAAAACTTCCAAGAAACCAGATCAGAACAACATTACCAAACCAAAGCCACCCTCAACAAGACGAATAGAAGCCGATCTCCAACATGCAAGCACAGGAGAGGAAACCCCAGGGAAGACGGCCCACAAGAACACCGCTCCGCTCCAAGAAAACCCTCCTCGGCCTCGTATCAAAATGGATGATCACCAAACATAATTGTGTTGCACATGAAATATATTAAAAAATTTTGCACAAATAAAAATTAGGATAATTTATTTTTCTCTTATGTGAAACTGTTGGGGTTGGCTTTCTTTCTGTTTAAACAGCTTTTTAGTAAAAAAAATTAATTTTAATATTAAAAAATTACTTTAAGAAGTATTTTTTTTTTGTTTTTTTTGGGAGAATTGAGGCACTAGGCCCATTTTATTCATGAAAAGAAAGAATACATAAGAAATCATAAATTGCTACCACAATTGACCAGTAGCAATCTGAAGAACGAAAACAGCAAAGACAAAACTGCTTCAAAACAAAAGAAAAAACCTATTACATTTAATCACCCTATCAGCCTTTGCTGCTGAATTATAAAAGCAAAATTTGATTTTCCAATTCAAGTGTACCAGATGACATGAATACCAAAAGTATATCCAGAATAAAACCTGTAGAAGGAAAAACCAACCGGCAAAAAAGAGCTCTCAAGTCTATCTAAACCTGGACTCAGATTAAACATATTAAGGCACACGAAAAACCTGAAATCCCTGGTTGCCCGTAGACCATCCAAGGAACCCAGAGCGGAAGCTTCATCATTGTCCAGGTAAGACTTCAAAAAATGCTCGCAGTGACTGGATGAGAGTAGGGACTTAACCAGCATATAAGCCGCATCTCTTGTTACAGAAGTTCCAAGTAATCAATAGAGTTCTTCCATTTTGCTATTCTCTCAGAAATGTTCCTTTTAACATTGAGAATCAGGGTATTATGGCAATTAAAAATATGCCAAAATCTCCTACCATTCCTCTTCTTCCATAAGTGGTAAATAATGCAACAGATGAGGGTATAATAGAAGTTTTTAGCCTTCTTGTTTCCCTTGTAATTACCCTTAATCCATTCAAAAACATGCAGAATGTTGGGCCTAAAAAGGAATGTTTTCATTCCAGGTATAATCGCTGTAAGAACATAAAAAACATAATCACATTCGAAATAAATGTGAGATACAGTTTCATTTAATCCCAGACACAGATTGCAACCGACAGGAACCAAAATGTTACGAGAAATAAGTGCATCCGCAGTCTTAAGTCCGCCCACCAAAGACATCCAGGCATATACTGAATGTTTCATAATATTTCTGTTTGCCCATACCGATTTGTGCCAAGAACAGGTTTGTAATTCAGAATAATACTCCTCAATGTAATTCTTGAATTTATATGAACTACTATTTTTCCATTTAAGGCAAGTCTCACCATCCTCAATGCTAAATCCATCAAGCAGAGTTTTCAAATTCAGAGAAATGTTCTCAGGAAATACCCACTGAGATCCAAAAATTAGATTATTAATAGTGATATCTGGACAGCATCCCAAATACGCACCCCCCAGGAATTCAGCAATATTGTGATTGTGACACCAGTGATCCCATATCAAGGATATAGGAGCATTTTGAGATATGATGAAGTTAAAGCAGTGTTTTACCTCCATAGCAGTTTTACTTATAAATTTCCATAAATTAGAAGCAAAAACAGGGGGCGGCTTCCACGGGGACTTATAAATACAAAGGAGCCATTTGGATAGTGGAGATGCAACATTATACATCCTTAAAATCACAGAACAATTATAAGCAAATTGAAGAGCAGAGATAGAAGGAATCCCCAAACCACCTTTGTTTTTAGGCCTGCATATCTTATCTCAGGACACCATATGTAATTTTTTAGCAATCAATGTATCCCCAAAAAAGAAGAATCTAGAACTAGCGCGTTTGATAAACTTGTGAACTGTTTTTGGTAAAATGGAGCCTCTAATCCAATACGCAATCGTGTTTTGGATAGTGAATTTCAGGTATTGGAGCCTGCCCGCAAAAGACAGTAAGTTGGCTTTCCAACCGTTCATTTTTTTATTGACACAATCCATAAGAGGCAAATAGTCTTCAATCTTGAGCTTATAAAAGGATAAAGGGATACCAAGATACATGATTTTGTTAGCCACATTGTGAATTGATAGAGTTTGGCAAATATCCTGCTTGTTCCTTAGATTTTTAGGGAATATAATAGCACACTTATCATAGTTTACACGAAGCCCGTGTTATCAGCAAATTCCCTCAAAATATTATTCAGCTTGTTGCAATTCTCAACTGTTGCCTCCCCAAAGATTAAAACGTCATCTGCATAAAGCAGATGAGACAAGGATTGGCTGTCAAAAGAAATTCCTCTAAAACCCCTACACTCCAAGAGATTAGAGAAAGCATCCATCACTATACAGAAAAGGTAAGGGCTTAAAGGGCACCCCTGTCTAAGCTCTGTAGTAGAAGAGAAATAACCTTTTAGGGCACCATTTAGCAGAATAGAAAAATTGACATCGGTTATACAAAATTTTATCCAGTTAACGAAGAGGGGAGGAAAACGTACCTTTTTGATGGAGCCTATTAAGTAAGAATTCCCGGCTAACCGAGTCAAATGCCTTCTTGAGGTCCAGTTTAGCACAAAAATAGTTGCAGGCACTTTTCTTAGCAGCATAAGATAATATATCATTAGCAAGCAGAATGTTATCAGCAGATATTCTCGATTTAACAAAGCTAGCTTGATTGTCCAAAACAATCAAATTCATGATAGGTTTCATTCTTTCAGCTAAAACCTTAGCCATTATTTTGTAAAGAACATTGCAGAGAGCTATAGGTCTGTAGTCAGAAATATCAGCTGCATTTTTATGCTTAGGTATGATAGCCAAAGCAGTGGCTTTCACACCATTAGGCATATAACATTTCTTAAAAAATGAGTAAACAGCCTTGCAAACCCAATGACCAATGATATTCCAAGTAGATTTGTAAAAAAAGAAATTAAACCCATCTGGACCGAGTGCAGAGTTTGATTTACCCGAAAAAACAGCCTTTTTCACCTCTTCATCTAACACAGGAGAGATAATACCGATAGTAAGAGAGTGTGGTAGCAAAGTCCCAGTCGGAAAATCACTAAAATTGTGGCAAGGGGGTGCAGGCGGGTTGTATAGACCTTGATAAAACTGGATTAAAGAATTAACCACATCAGCTCTAGAGGAAGCCGAAGGATTAGCAAGTAAATTTCCCACAGAATTAGAACCACCTCTTCTAATTCTAATCTTAGCAAATAAAAACTTTAAATCATCTTCCCCTTGTCTTAACCAGTTAACTTTTGCCCTTTGTATAATCCAGGATGCAAGCAAATTGTTGAACTTTGCTAATTCTAACGTGCTAACCTTGTAGGAATGATTAATTTCCAAGTTATTAGGTTCTCTCTGCAACTTATCTAAAATTTCAGCTTGCTTAGCATTCAAAACATCCAAATGCCTAGTAATGCAAGAAGAGGAAGACCAAGCCTCACACTTCACCCCAATCTTAATTTGTTTCAGATTATTGGTGAAATGAGAAATAGGGTTCCCAAGGCACGGTTTGAAAAAAATCTCCAATATAAGCATCTAGAATTTGTCAAAATTGGTCCATAAGTTTTTGAATAGAAAATGATGATGAACTTGCACCTTCATACCACTATTCAGAATAATGGGGCAATGGTCCGAATAGGAGGGACTGTGAAATTTGTAAAAAGAGTCTGTGAAGGAGTTCACCCAAGCCTCATTCACTAAAACACGATCAAGCTTTATATGTATAGGATTGATAGTGCGCTGATTGAACCATGTATACTTAAAACCCACAGAGTTTAAATCTACCAATCTATTATGAAAAATCATATTATTGAAATCTGACAAAGCAGCATGATTTATGGGAGTACCTCCAGATTTTTCAAATGCAAACCTGCAGCAATTAAAATCCCCCATTACAGCCCAAGGGAAATCATTAGAAGGAGCAAGCTGAGCCAAAATTTCCCATAGTTTCTTACGGTCTTGAGAATTGTTCGAAGCATAGATAGCAGAAAGATGGAACAAAGGTTTATTAGCAACCCAAATAATACCCGATATAACTTGATCCGAGATGTGAGAAGGTTTGAAACTTAGCTTTGATGAATCCCATTTAACCCAAATCCTACCCGAAGTGGATAGAGCAAAATTGTGGCAACTATTCTCATTCGAAAACAGAGAATGTGAGGCTTCAAAGAAAGGGTCTTGAAGAGTATTGGAATTGATCCTAGTTTCCAGGATGCAAATCAGATTCAAGTTGAAAGACTTGATTAGTCGCTTACAGGACAAAACTTTATCAGGGTGATTGAAACCCCTGATATTCCACGCCACCATGAGTGGAAAGGACATTAATACTGAGATTGTTGTTGAGGTTTTTTGCCCTGCTTCCCCCTTGCAGGCTTTTTTGACGCCACACTATATTGTGGCTGCTTGCCCTTCTCCAAGGCTTTAGATTTCCCACTGCTAGTGGAACCCAAATTCTCAACCGAGCACTGAGTATCCTCGTTTTGCTGAAATTTCTCTTCAATACTATTAAGAGCATCAAATTTATTTGGCGATATTATGTCTTTGGGTTGATTGAAGTTTTGAGATGTAGATGATGAGGAGATAGTTTCATGTGGAGAGTTGAGGTTCGGGATGCCAGAAACAATAGCATCTTCAATAGGCGGCACATCACCAATCGGATTGACATCGAACTGTGGATTGCTTTTTGCGGTTGGGGAGTGCGGTTGATATGTCATAGGTTGCTCTAAGACATTGGTAATGATGGTATTTGGCTGCCGGGGGTTGGATATTGTTGTGACAGGAGGAGGATGGACATTATTGCAGATAAGTTCTTGTTCTTTTGGT